ATCTGGACGTAACATACAGTAACATTCCTGACAGTTGGATGTGGCTAAAATGAAAGTAAACAAAAAGAAAGAAGTGAACGTGTATTGAAGCCATTGATGTGTAGAATGTGTTAGCAGGACAGGAAATCTTCTAATTTGCATTCTTTCTAACTCTAATACTCTGGTGTTTTACTGCCTTGGTGGTCCAGATTCTTCATGTTACAAGCCATTCTTTGCAATTTTAGTCCAAAAAAGTATGTAATTTTAGTCCAAAAAGTATGTTTATCATAATGGAAACCTGCAAATTCTGAAGCCAAAAGTCTCTGTCTGCTCAGAAGTTACATGAAGTATGTCTAAGATTTTATTTATTTAATTCAAAATTTTTTAATCTCTCCTTACAAAAGGACCCAAGGTGGCTTACATCATTAAAAGACCATATTTAATGCTAACAAAGGTGAGTATCATACTAAAAAACATCAGCAACACCAAAATGCATACAAAGCATTAAGGCACAACAATCCATTGAGAACCCCACTCAAGCAGCCAGTCACTCAAGGATAACTTACTAGGAGAGAGAGGTCTTGTGGAAGGAGAGCAAAGATGTGGCCAGGCTGGATTCCAGTGGGAGGGAGTTCCAGAGTCTGGAAGCAGCCACATCAGATGGTGGAAAGAAGAGAAAGGCCTCCCCTAAGGATCTTATCGCCTGGGCAGACTCATAAAAGCAGGCATGGTCCTTGAGATAGTTGGGACCCAAGCCATTTAGGGCTTTATAGGTTCAAAACCGTGCTTTGAATTGTGCCCGGAAATGGATCAGCAGCCCATGGGGCTGCTGTTATGGGGGGGGGGAGGGTTAGGTGACTCCTATGATCAGCCCAAGTTAACAATCTGGCTGCTGCATTTTGGACCCACTGATGTATTTTCTGGCATAATTTTAAAGGTAGCCCCACATCGAGTGCCTTACAGTAGTCCAACCAGGATGTAACTGAGACATGTGTCACATATGTAATTTTCAAGTTAAAAGTACACTGCTCTAACATACCCAAACAATTACTTAAGGCCTTTCAGTCTATGAACCTAGCACTGTTAATTATAGTTTTCTTCTCCTGTCATTTCGGCTGCTAATTAGAAGTCACGGTGGGTTCCAGTTCAGCACTACACAACAAGATGAAGAATTATAAGAAGAGCGTGAGTGGCTTTTTGTAGGTAAATACTATGGCTCTAAAATTAGCTGGAAATTCTCAGAGAATAAAAGGCGTTTATTTGTAGCAAGGAAATCATCTTGCTGTGGGCAGGAAAAGCTCACCACTGAGCAAGAGTGGGAAATTATAGGGACTAGCCAAGCCCGCGAAGCCAGACGTTTTCATGAGAGCGTGATTTTTTTTCCCCGAGCCTCAGCTTCAGGATCTGTCCTTCCAGTGAGCACTCAGGGTTGATTTCCTTTAGAACTGATAGGTTTGCTCTCCTTGCAGTCCAGGCGACTTATCAAACAGCAATATGGAAATATCTTCAATAACTGTTTGTCAGGTATTTAATATTTTAAATCTTTTAAACATAATCTAATCGTCTGTACTTCTTTTACTGTTCTTATTGCAGCATTTAATGTGTGAATTATTAAACTACCTTTTGGTATACCTTTTGGCATAGTTAAAATGGTCATTAGGACATAGAACGTGTTGTTAATTTATTTGAATTTATTTATTTATTTATTTATTTATTTTATTTATATCCCGCCTATCTGGTCGGATCAGGACCACTCTAGGCGGCTAACAACATTAATAATACAATAAAATTTATATATAAAACAATTATTAAATAAATTATTAAATCCCACCACTAGGAATGAACAATTCGTGCAAATGGTCCTTTTGCCATCCCAAAAAGGGAAAGAAAATATCCATGAGAGCCAACCCCCACCCCCAACGAAATCAGGATGACCAGGGCTTGCATTTAACGAACAGAAGGTGCCCTGGTTAAGTATGGGGTTGGAGGTCGGATCAGCAAAATGAGCTGGAAGAACACGGAGAAGCATTCTGCACATGCCCAGAGAGCCAACGTGCTGGCTGGAGGACTGAGCCAGCCTCCAGCAGGACCTGTCCCCCAACACGGAACTGCCGCCCTGCGGCTTAAGGCTCCCGGATGAGAAATATTTCACAGTTCTTTGATAGTCAGGGCAGCCCACGGAGGGGAAGGCCCGCGCATGCGCCCAAGGACAATAAGGGGACTCGTGCGCGCTCGCTCGCCAGCTTGGGGGCGGTTCTTCTTGGGCAGGGAAAAGAGAGGGCGGTGACGTCAGTTGGGGGGGGCGGGGTCGCTCGGCTTGGTCTCTCTCACGCGAGGATGGGCGGGTTGAGGGGAACCTC